GTGACCCTACTTAAAAAGTTATGAACATCTTTAGACATAAATGAAAGATATTCATGTTTAACATTTTTCTCAAGCTCCATCACACGCATAATTTGTCTAACCGAAAGACGTCCTCCTTCTCTTAGTAAAAGTATTCTCTCCTTATCTTCTTCGGTGATGGTGCGATAAGATGGGAGAAAGCGTACTTCCTCGGGTGACAATAACTCGTGATTGTGGTTAGCTACGAACTCCGTCACATGCCATTCTTGAGAAAATATATCAAAAAGCCTTTTTAAAGTAATACACATGCGAGCCTTACACTCACTTTTTATTGAAATTTTATCTTGTTGCTTTGATGGGTCTATTATTTTCAATGAGGGTTTCCCTGCACATGAGCAAAAAAAATTGTTAGACCCTAAAGGGGGGTGATTAGGGTCTTATGCTAATCTAATCCGATTAAATACCAATTAAAATTAATTAATAAATATATTCTTGCAAGATAGATATACAAAGAGTTATGTGCAAGAATATGCAATATACACAAGGTGATATATCCTAGTAAAGAGGTATACTATATGATAGAGATGTATGCAAGGACATATAAACTAACACAAGGATAAACAATCTAAACAAGATAGTGGATGATATAGAAATAAGGAATGCACAATGGCGATATAAGATATGAACATAAATATGAATGAACGCCAAAGCACACTCAAACAAGCAATATGATCACGGAGTTTGGACCTTCCGTCCTACGTCTCCGCTCCCCACTCCCGGGAAGAAATCCACTATCACAACCGGGTTTTCTACGTTCACCCGAATAACGTTTACACCTCACAGTGTCGGTTTTCAACGCTCACCGATCAACGTTCACACTCACCCTCACAATGTCGGTTTTCAACGTTCACCGATCAACGTCACTCCTCACACTCGGTTTTCTAGTTCACCGAAAACTTCTTAACACACTCGGTTTTCTAGCTCACCGAAAACCTTCCACCCGCGGGTGGGACTCATGGTCAGCAGCTCTCCATGGGGGAGTGTATCTCTCCAGGCTATTGCCCGTTGTTGGTCAGGAGTTCGAATCCTCGTAGCCGCATTCACCTGGTTTCCCTTGGTTTAAGGGTGGGGACGGAAACCCGGGGTTTTATTGGTCACCAAATCCAGCTCAGCCCGTTGTATGCTCACCAGTTCGCGTCCCAGTGGTCCCCACGCTGCTCGCCCGCGCTCTGCCCGTGGGGATGAGCCCCTGGTATTAAGGGTAGCTCCTTGTAGATGTGAAGGGAACAAGGGGAATCGAACCAGGGCCGCTAGCGGGGCTCTGAAAGAGTTAAACTGAGCTGGGGTGACCAAGTTTCCCTTGTCATCAAAAAAAAAAAAAGATGGAGAGATGGAGATTGAAGCCCAAACAAGAAGATGATCTCCTCCACTTGTGAAAACTTCTTCACAAACAAAACAAACCATTAAACACACTTTAAACCCTTGTTTAAAACTTGTTTTAAAAACTTCTTCTTCACAAACAAAACAAACCATTAAACACACTTTAAACCCTTGTTTAAAACTTGTTTTAAAAACTTCTTGGATTGGTTGAAAAAGAACAGCAATAGGGTATTTATACCCACTCTAAATCTCAGTCAAAAACCCCAAGCCAAAAGACAAAAACAGCCCCAGCAAACAGCTCAGGAAATAGCCGTT